TATCACTGTCGCGGCAACTGTAAAAGCATATCAACGCTGCGCGACTCCCCGCCCTGGCCACTTCGGGCGATAATTACCAGATGCGATCAGTTGCGTTTCAGTTCCGTTGCAGTTACGTTTCGGTTGCATCGCATATACATATCAATTCACTTTGTATTTAGCTTTAATTTGAGAGCAATAAACAAAGTCGCCACGGTTTGATTCAGAGTGGGATAAGGGTAGTTTCGGGGAGTAGGTAGCGGAGACACATGAGGTGATACGGTTCGACTCCTGGCGCAGATTCTTGTGTCAAGGACCAATCTTGAAAATCCCGCCCGCAATGGTGGCGACGGGTTTATAATGGCACGCTCGGGAATGTCAGGCGTGGCAATTATGTATTTTACTTAAGGAGTCAATGCCTGAACACGTCGATCGCCATGCTGATGAGTCCACGTGGGGATATCTCGATCGAGTTGAACACGTTGCAATGGCAACTCCTATGAAGAGAACGATTTCGGTGGTGGAGGTATCGCTCGGATTCAACCATCAACCAGCTGCGCTTGCATATGACAGGGGCTTGCGCGACCACTACCGCCCAATATCTACCGCGCATTTTGATTGGATACAGTGTTTGTTGGCTTCGGGTGGCCTTGGACAGTGCCGCGTGAACGGGCTAGTGGTTGCGCTTGACGCGAACGGGTCTGAGCCTCGTCGTTTGGGCGAATTTGCGGCCGAGTGCGCGGACGGCAACATGGGCGGACGTTTCCGAGCATTGCCTCGCAAGTTTGTCGTTTCGAGTGCAGCGTTTTTAAGGAACGCGCGCAGATCAAATGTTTTGCTGCCGAGACCTTGTCGGCCATAGCCGTGCTGCGACATGCGAGAGCACGTTTGCCGATCCGCCGCCCAGAGTAACCCGGCGCGTAATTTCCAAAACCGCTGCACGCCGCTTTCCCCGACATCGGGGGCAGAGGATTGTTGCAGGATTATTCTGGGCGAGCACACGATCGCGCGCGATCGTTCGCAGGCCGCGCAGGTCCTCGGGAGCACCTGCGATCTATTAACTCTCGGAGACGCCGCGGTCGCGCTAGCCGGGTTGCTGGCCGATCGCATTCGTGGGCATCCTATTCGGGTGGTCGTCTTGCATGGGGCTGGCTCGATATGGATAGAGTGCCACTTGATGCATCGCGCGCCCGAACATTTGACGCACTTACAAACGAATCCAATATGTCTTCCTGCGAGCGCAGGACCGCTTGGTCAAGACAGCGCGCGCTCATTATATGGTTCAGAAGAACGCTTCGGGATCAATTGCATGTAGGTTGTTTCTAGATCTCGAGGAACGCATCTCCAAGGGCGCGCGCGATTATTCAGTTCGCCTTGTGGGGGCGATGCGCTCTCAGCCAGGTCTGGCCGATCAGTTCCCTGCGGCCGAGCGCCCGTCTCATATTTTCGCGGGAATGCGCGTGCGTTGGGCGCGAGGACTCCTCCTCGAGAAAGATGTGGCATCTTGTCGGTGCGCATCGGGCTCTTTGTTCGTGTCTCGCTGCGCGTGTTTCCTAGACGCTAGGCATGGCGACGGCCCGACCATGCCGTGCCTGCGCGCCGTCGGCCGCGTGTATAGCCAGCGGGAAATAAACGGACCAGCTTGGGACCTCGTCGAATTGTCCGAGTTGATGCCAGTGCAACAAATCCAGGAGGTGCATATCGCCCTGAAGGACGACCCAGGCATAATGCCTAAATAGAAACCGTCCTAACGTTGCGCGCCATCGCTGCGGAACCGCATTTCGGCTCCAAGCATTCTCGTCTGGGTCTGCCGAATAACAGGGGCTGGCGACGATGAGAGGAGAAAAATGATTAGGGCGACGATGAGGAGCAAGTGCGGGTGGCGAAGGTGAACGGGCGGAGCGGGCTAGGAAACCGCGCTGGCAGCGACGGGAGGGATGTGCTTTAGATAGCGCGTTAGGAGGATGATTGATGAGCGAGAGGGGGCGCGCGCTAGCCCCGGCCCTTCTCGGGGTTGGCGCGGCGGCCGCGGCACGCGTCGCAGTTGGCGACGAGGCCGCCCTGTTGCAGCGGGCGGGATTGCTTGGGCGACTGATGCTAGATGAACAGATAAACTAAACATGTTTGAATTTCTCCAGCCACCGCTCGCAGCGGCTCGCCCTGCAACGTTGCCATTATTTCGGGTCGGGTTCAGCTGTGGTGACGACGGATCCCCAGAATGTTTTGGAACATTGACAACAAACATATTACATATACGTTCACTTACATTACAGTTGCGTATCAGTTACGTCCCAGTTACAGCTCATCTACATCTGAACAGCGCCCTCTCCCCCCCCTACCCCTTCTTCTCGTCGGTGCTCCCCTCCTGCTCTTCCTCCGCACCGCGCCCTTGCTCATCCTCATGCCCTTCCTCTCCCCCATCCTTCTCCCCCTCCTCCTCCTCCTCCTCCTCCTCCTCCTCCTCCTCTTCCTCTTGCTCATCTTTGAAAGCTGGCAGGCGCCTGCCGCGGGGTGCCCCGTTTTTCAGAACTGCAAGCTTTAAGACCCTGAGACTCTTACCAGCACGTGATCCTGGTATGCCCTACGGCGATGTATATGCACCAGCTACACATATCCTGGGGCGCCAGAAGAGGGGATACGTGTTTCGTCCAGTCGAGTCTGCAGAGAATTCGTGCCCATTGGCCAAGAGCGCCGTAGCGAGCCGACGGCGTTGCTGCAACACGCCACGGACGCGCGAAAACCGCTCCTGACTAACAACTTATTCAAGCATTGCGCACCGCTCGATGCATGCAACCGCGTCGTCGTCGTCGTCGCCATCGTCGTCCGGTGGATGGCGCGATGCATCTTCCGATACGCCGTCCGTCTACTGGCGCGCCTGCGGCGGGACATCAGCCGTGTGCAGGGCTCTCACGGCCTGCACGGCCCCGCGCGGCTGCGCCGCGCCGGGCAGCTGGCTCGTCTCCGCGAGGCGGTCGGGCACGAGCTGCAGGCGGTCGGCCACGAGCTGCATGCGCTCCGGGACGTCATCGGATTTCCTTTCGATGCGCTCGATGTCCTCGGCTTTGGCCGTGCTCAGGTCGCCGAGCTTCTCGATGGTGGTCTGCGTGTGCTGCCCCAGCGCGTCGGTGCGGCCCTGACATCCAGGCGGTGGTGCTGCTGGAGGTGGCGGAAGTCCTGGAGCCGCTGGCGGTGCATCTGGTGGCGCCGCCGCCGCTGGTGGTGCTGGCGCCGCTGGCGGTGGTGGAAGACCTGGAGCTTTTATTGGCAGAACCTGACTCTGTGCTGGCTGCAAGTAGCTGAAGTCCGTGTAAACTCGTACGATCTGCTGTCCTCTGCGCGAATAGTGGCCCAAGTGGTTCCATCGGCCTTCGGTCCTGCCGCGATGCTTTGGCGTCGCCAAATAGTCGACCGTCACTCGGGTCCCTGCAGGCGAACACATGAAGCACCGCCAGGACTGGTCGGGGCCGCTCTACTTCATGCGCGGCGCATCGGTCCACGTCCCGCCCGCGAGCATCACGGACTGCGGGCGCGTCTCCGCGTTCTCCACGTATCGGTACGCGGCCATGCCACCGCTCTCCACGAACCAAAAAAAACACCGATCGACGTAGAGGTGGGGCGTCCGAGAGGGGGGTGGAGGAGAGCAGGACTTCTGTGTGCGGTCATCGCCGGGGCCTCTGGCGTCATCGCCGGCTCCGTTGCTGGTCCCAGTGAGCTCGGCCGTGAGGCGGCGGCGCCTTCATTCTGGCACAAGAGGGGTTATAACCTTTTCGTGCAAGCACCGTTTTGGGAAAAGGTCCCTCGGGCATCCCCAGCATTGCTCGTGAACGTCCCAGAACATGATTGCGCATGCCGCCAGACGTGTGCCGTTTTTTTTTTCCTGTGGCTCAGTTTTTTTTTGTAATTCGGCGGGGGGCGCTTTCCCGCGGGAGGTCGATTGTCCACCAGTCATTGTCTCTTCTCACCCACACGTGGGGCTTGGAATAGTACATACGGCCTCGCGCCAGTTCTCCAGGAAGGGGCGCTTCCACACGCTCGCCCGTGGTTCCTCCGTGTCCCTTATCCTCCTCCTCCTCCTCCTCCTCCTCCTCGTCCTCCTCCTCCTCCTCCTCTTCCTCCTCCTCCTCGGAAAAATCGTGCGCCAGCCGGATCCCCCGCCCTTTCTCCTGCCTCTCCTCGTCTATATTCCTCCGTTCCTCCACACCTTCCCCTCCCCAGCGGGAGGGAGGGATGTGTAGGAGTGGGAGGGGGGAGGAGGGGAGGAGGAGTAGGAGTAGTAGGAGGAGGAGGAGGAGGAGGAGGAGGAGGAGGAGGAGATGGAGGAGGAGGAGTAGGAGTAGGAGGAGGAGGAGGAGGAGGAGGAGGAGGAGGGAGGAGGAGGAAGAGGAGGTCGAGGGGCCTTCACGCAGTTCCCACTTTGGTCACCTAGACTCCGGGCGGGGAGGCTCTCGCCGGTGCCCTAAAAGCCCTACCCCGTCTCCCCCCCTCCGGATCTCCCCATCCCGCCTCGCCCCAACACGTCCCAGCCACGACGGCCCCCCCCCGCCTCCCCGTCCCAGCCGCGACGAGCCCCCCCCTTGCGCGCCGCGACCGCGATCGCCCCCCGCACGCCGCGACGGGCGCCCCGCGCGCCGCGATGGGCGCCCCGCGCGCTGCGGTGGGCGCGCCGCGCGCGCGACGGGCGCGCCGCGCGCCGCGGCGGCGCGCGCCGCGGCGCGCGGCCGCGTGGGGGGCGGCGGTCGGCCTGGCCGCCGCGGCGCGGCTGCCAGCGGCCAGGCCGGCGCTGTGCGTGGCGCCGTGCGCGGCGGCGCCGGCGCTCGGCGCGCGGCGCGCGCCGCCAGCGGCCGCGGCGGCGGCGGGGCTCGGCGCTGTTGATCGGCGCGGCCCCTGAGATCCGACGCTCACAAAAAAATTGAGCCTGCAGGCGGGTCTGAACAGTTTTCGGCCTCCGTGGGCCCTCGCCGGGCCTCGGGAGCGTCAAAAAACGACTCAGGAGGAAAATCCGGTCCCGGGAAATTGGTCCGGACCTCCGGGGCCCACGCATCGAGAAAATTGGAGTAGCCGGATGTCTGGGTCCTAAACATGCTCGCGCCGTGAGCCAAAACATCGGCACGGGAGATGTTCCGCCAGGTTCGGCCTCCTGGGGGGGCCCTCCCCGGACCGCCAGAAGAAACGGCTCGGGATGAGAAGCCTGGGTCGGGGAATGGGTCGGGGCCTCTAGGGGTCGACGCCCTGGAAAAAGCACGGCGTCGCGCGTCTGGTTATCGTTGGCCGGCGACCACAACGGATATGGCTGCGCCAGGGTGTGGTTTGCGATCGGCGACGTTGGGGCGTAGGAGGTTACCACGTGACGTTGCTTCAAGGGTTTTGTGAGCCCTCGTCGGGGCGCGGCGGAGGTCTCTGTTGAGGTCCTTGCCCGCCCACCCCCGGCGCGGGTTGCAACTCATACCCTTTGCAGACCACACCCTTCGGAGTCGCCGAGTTGAGCCGACCCCCATCCCCACTGGGCCGTGGTATATCAGCCCCACTGCCACACCGCCCCAGGTGGGCATACACCCCTCGAAATCGGACAGGAGCAGCCCATATCCCCACCCGGGGGGGTACATCGGTCAGACAGGCCCAGGCCACGCTAGAGCCGCTAGAGGACATGGGGATCGTTGACCGATGCTCCTCCTCCTCCTCCTCCTCCTCCTCCTCCTCCTCCTCTTTCTCCTCCTCGCCCACCTCTCCCTCCTCTTTTCCCTCCTCCTTCTCCTTTTTCTCCTCCTCCTCCCCTCCTTCTCCTCAGACGGGGCGGATCCGCGTGCGGGTCCGCGCGGGCGGCAGCGGCGACCCCGCGGGCTGGAGCGTCCGGGACCTGCGCTTCGGCGGCCCTTTCGGCGGCCCCTCGGCGGCCCCTCGGCGGCCCTTTCGGCGGCCCCTCGGCGGCCCCTCGGCGGCCCTTTCGGCGGCCCCTCGGCGGCCCCTCGGCGGCCCTTTCGGCGACCCTTTCGGCGGCCATTCGGCGGCCCCTCGGAGGCCCTCCGAGGCCCTCGGGGGCTTTCTTTCTGAGGCCAGAGGTTGGCACCTACACCAGTACGTATCGGCGGTTGCCTCCGCCGAGGGACGGAGATCCCGATCTCGGCGATGGTGGTGAGATTTCCTGGTGGAGGCACCCCCTTGTGTGTGTGTGGTGGTGCCAATTTCCAGGCCCCCAACTCTTCCCCCCTTGACCTGCCAGGCGGCGATGTCGCTCCCAGCGGAGGGGCAACAAATAGTGCAAATGCCATGAACAACAGTCCAACAATTCCCAAACACACAATTCATTCAGTTAAGAGCTCCCAACACGACTAGATCAAATATTCGGGTGCGGATGCGGGCATCCAGGTTGATCTGGACGGTGTCCTCCCCCCCCCGCCGGCGGCATGCGCCTCGGGGGGATCTTTCCCTCTTCCCTCCTCCCTCCTCCCCCTCGGCACGGCTGCAGCAGCTGATGTGGCTACTCCGCCTGGCCGTCCGCCTCCTCTTCTCCTATACCCCACTCTCTCTTCCTTCTCGCCTCTTTGCTCCCCCCCCCCCCTCCATTCCTTCCCCCTCCCTCCCCCCTTTCCAATCCCTCCTCCTCCCCCCTCCCCATCCTCCTCTTCACGAGCGGGAATCGTATTCTAAACTTCGTCCATCATATGATTCCCGCCCGAGCTTTCCGCCGTCGTGGGCCCAGCTTTCGACCGTAATGCCCAGGAAATCACGCCCGCGGCCCTTGACATGCCTTTTGGGCCCCGAGGTTTCCCCCCTCTCCTCCTCATTCTCCTGTCCTTCCTCCGCCCGAAGGCAACTTCCAGGGCAGGCCCCCCCGCCCGGAGCCGAAAGACAGAGCAGCGCCCCTGGTGCAGGGTCGAGTGGCTGCGCGATTTCGGCACCAGAATATTGATGGGGTCCTCCTCTTCCTCCTCCTCGCCTCCTCCTCCTCCTCTGTGTCCTCCTCCTCTTCCTCCTCTTCCTCCTCGTCCTCTTCCCTCTGGCATCAGAATCGGCACGATGGCGAACGACGGCGCAGGGACGATTTTGCGCGGACCCAAGCGTCTGCACTGGGGTTGCTCGACATGTGAGTTGGGTCTGTCGGATCCAGTGCAGGTGCGGAGCCAGAACCCAACAAATCATTGCATCGAAATCCTGGCAGGAATATCACAAGTGTGCTGCAGCAAAAAAGAACAGTAAGCCGACCTTCGACCGTCCTGGAGGTGGCCGCAACTTGCAGGAGCCGTGCCAGCTGGCTCCGTGGGCCAAGCCGCGCACGTGCATGGAGAAGGAGACCGTCGGCTTTCGCAAGCAGCGAAAGAGCTTCCAGGACAAGATGCAGGCCACCTGATGCGGCCATAAGGGACGTCGACGGCGAGGGCCCCCAGAAGTCCAGTTCTTGCAGCTCGTGATGCCAGAGCTGGAGTCGGTGCCTGGGCTGAAGCTGTTCTACCAGAATCTCCGAGCGGCCCCCAATTTCAAAAAGCCCCCCAGGAGATGCTCGCCAAGGACGGGTTTCCCGCGGAGATCCCGAAACGATCCCGAAGCAGGACGACGTCGAGAGCAATAACGACAACGGCAGCGACGACGCTGAGAAGGTTTCTGAGACCCAGAAGCGGTGCAACGATGCGCCCCCGTGTTTCGAGGAGGTTGCGAAGTTGCGCGAGGAGCTCAAGAAGGCAATGGGCGCGAGTGAGGAGACGGAGCAAGACCTGGTCAAGCGCGCATGAGCTTGCCCAAAAACAGCAAATGCCCAAGCGCGGGCGCGCGTCAGCGCCGTCAGCTGGCGCTGGGCGCGCGGGGTGTTGAGTCCCACCGGCCTCGCGCGAGCGGGTTGCGACTGCGTCGCGGTGAATTTCAGCCAGCCGGTGCCCCTTAGGCCACTCAGCAGTTGCACTTTCTCTGGGCTCTCAGCGCCAATCATGGGGAGCGCGCCTTGAAGCGACGGCTTGAGAGGGCGCGAGCGTCGGCGGTGTTGGCCCGGGTGACAGGGAGACCCAGGGGCTCCAGTCGCGGGCAGGCGCAAGAGGATGGCAAGTCATTGCCGCCCCAGGAGCCCCCGTAGAAGGCCGCTCACCTCATCGCGCTCTACTCGCCATTGTGGATCTACCTGGATGGGAACCACCGCGCGTTTTCAATGCCTGCCCCCGCGCGAGTGAAGAGATGACTGTGCGCAATGCAAATTCATTGCGCGCTGCTGGCGAAGCGATGTCTGGAATCATGGGGCCGCGCCGGGGGGGCGGGCGCACGTCGTCATCGCAGGTCGAGGAGCCGATGCTCCCAGCCAGTGCACACGCCACCCACGTCATTCCGAAAGCGGTAACTTGCCGCGCGGCGCGTTCCCATTCTACTGTGGACGCGTTCGTGTTCAGCGTTGCAGCAGCGCGATCGCGCGAGCAGGTTTCAGCAGACATGGCATGGCGCACCAAGCCGCATCGAACGGCCCAGTTGCAGTAGTCAGTGCACGGGCAGTCTTCGCAGCGCACTGCGCATGGAGTGGCGCCCAGGGAGCCGACTGTTCAGCGGCCTGGGTCTCGAGCGCAGCACGGGCCAGATTTGTCGTCGAAGCGTCTCGGCGCTTTTCGCGCGTCACGCAGCCAACCTCGTCGATGTGCCACTTCTCTCGCGCGGCGTCGCGGCCCCAAGTGGGCGGAGGTCGCGCGAGAGGCGAAGGGTCCTGAGGGCGTTCAGGCTCGAGCAGACGGACGGCGGCGGCCGCGCAATGCGTTGGCCTGCGTCGCTCAGCCTGGGGGGGTGCATAGCGGCGCGAACGAGTCAAGTTTCTATGGGGAGATGGGGATCCCGTCGCTTCAGTCTGGCAACTTTGTTGATCGAGGGCTCAGCCATCGTCTCGATGTCACTCTTCAACATGCGCGGCGCGGGGTGGCGCGTCGGCCTGCGCGAGCCGGCGCTCGCCGGGGTCTTCTCGCCGAGGGCGAGGGCGACCTGCAGGCGGTGGGCGAAGCAGCAGGTGGAGACAGCAGCGCTCGATGGAAAGCTCGACGCAATCTGGCCAGTGCTGGGGCACCTCGCGGACTTCACCGCATTGCGAAGTACAGCGGCGCCCAGGGGCCGGCGGCAGTGCGGGGGGGCGCGGTCCCGCGGCGCATCCTCACATGGCTTTTTTGCGACGTGGAGCAGCCCCGCGCGCGGGGGCGGCGCGGCGCCGCGGGGGCCCCGCGCGCTCGCGCTCTTGATCGAGAGTCTCTGCCGCGAGCGACCCGCGCCGGGATTTGAGACGCAGCCGGGGCCTTCTCGGCCGGGGCGGCGCGCGGCCTCGACGGCGCCCGCCCTCGCAGCTTCGCCGCCCTCCTGAGCGAGGCGCTGCAGGTCGTGGGCGCGCTCTGGGGCGCCCGCGAAACGCCCGGGGCCCCCTTCGGGCATCTGGAGTGGATTTGGCCCCCCGCGCTGCTCGATCCCCAGGGCGGGCGCCGCCCAAGTCGCGCGCGTGCGCGGCCGTGCCGAGCGCGGCAAAGGCGCGAGCGCAAGCGCCTGGGCGGCCACCGGGACTCCTTGGATTGCGCGCGCTGGGGCGCGGCATCGGGGGGGTCTGCCGTCGGCAATGCTCGGGCGCCGGCGGCGCATTCGGAGGCGGCGGCCACGGGGGAGGCGCGCGCCGCGCCCTTGGCAGCAGACTTCTTTAAATAGCATGCAAAACAGTGTTGCGCGCGGGCTGCAGCGCAAGATTGGCGGCGTGCGTGCGCCAGCGGGGCACGCCGAGCTGCTGCTCAACCCCTGGCGCGGGCCGCGCATCGCGCGCCCCTGGCGCCATCGCGGCCCCGCGCCTGGGTTCGCAATCAGAGGGGGTGGCGCGGCGGGCGCCGCCATTGCGGTTCACGCGCTCGAGGGGCGCGACAGGCGACTGCGCGTGCGCCCGCGTCCTCCGGCGCCGTCATTGCGCTACAGCGGCGGCGCCGCCGTCGGCAACCATTGCCGGGGCCTTGCAGTCCTCGCGGAGAGATCGGTCGAACCCAGAGATCCAACGCATGGGAAAAATCAAGACGGTACGTTTTCGCACATGTCGGCCCCTAGGGGCGAACAAATCACGACATCGGATCTCTGGGAAGCGGGCGAGGGGTCTCTGACGGCGGTCAAGTGCCTTGGGCCACCCGCCGACGGGAAGTTCGCCATCGCGACGCCCAGCGCAGCCGGCGTCGCAGGGGCGGCGCGACAGCTGGGACTTGATGGGCGCCAGACTGGGGCCGACCGAGCTCGGCGCGCGCCAGGCGCCCCGGCAAAGAGGCGCGCGAGGTTGCGCGAGCGCAAGCCGGGGGCGAGGAATGCCCGGAAGCATTGGAAGGCGCCGCCTGGCCAGAAGGGCGCTCGCACGGGGCGAGTCTATCGCGCAGGTGCCCGCGCAGCATGCACGCGCGGGGCGGGGGTCAACGGCCGGCAGACGCTGAGCTCGGGCAACTCCGCCGCGATAACTCCAGACGCGCGAAGCCACGGCGTGACCCAGCACCTGTCTCAGCCAAGATGACCCCCGACCCTGGCCCGGCGTCGCGGCGAGCAACGTCCTTCAATGGGGCCGCGCGCCGCGGGAGGTCGCTGCCCAGCTTGGGCAGGCGCTGGCATCCAAGGTGGATGCGTTGTCCTGGTCGGGCCTTGCAGCCAACGAGCGCGGCGGGTCTTCCAGTCGGTCAGCTTCGCGAGGGCCGCCTGAGAGAGCGGCGCCGTGCATGCGAAGAGCGGGGTGGTTCAATTCCAGCGGCGCGCTCTGGCGCGACCACATTGGCTTCGGCGGCCGAGTTGACCAACTGGCGCCAGCGGTCATGGAAGATATACTGGCGCAAGCTCGCAAAATAGCAAGCCACGCGGGGAGTTCTTGAGCCGCAGCTTGCCGATATAGGGGCGCTG